CCCCAACCCCCTGATGGGCCCTGCTCTGTGTGTGACAGGGGGCAGCGCCCCAACCCCCTGATTGGCCCTGCTCTGTGCGTGACAGGGGGCAGTGCCCCAACCCCCCAATTGGCCCCACCCTGAGCATGACTGAGGGTGGCATCGCAACCTCCCAATCTGCCCTGCTCTGTGCATGACAGGGGGCAGCACCCCAACTCCCCAATCAGCCCTGCTCTGAGCCTGACCAGGGGCTGCACTTAGGGATTGGGCCTGCCCTCTGCCACCCAGGAGAAGGCCTAAGCCAGCAGGTCGTTATCTCCTGAGAGGTCCCAGACTGCAAGAGGGCACAGGCCGGGCTGAGAGACCCCCCCTCCCTGCCTGAGTGCACAAATTTTTGTGCACCGGGCCTCTAGTAAAATATAAAACCTAAAAAAATGGAGGCGCAAAAAACAATCCAAACATGTTGGTATCAAAGTGAACTCCAAAACACAACAGACAAAAAAAAAAAAAAGCAAAAGAGAAAGGAGGCAGTTCACAATTTTCCTTTTTCTTAATATTAGGTTGCTAACTGCATCAGGGTAGTAGGCAAGCTGCCCTGTTTCTTGATAACCCTGGTGCCACTAGTTTTTCCTTTTCAGTGGAAGGAGTATGCCAAGAGCATAGAATGAAGGAGAAAGAAATGGATAATATGTGAGGTTATTACATTTTTTCATGAAATACCAATATATATGTACATAATATAAAAACAAAAAAAAGTTACTTTTAAGCTTTTTAAGGCTTAATTTTCTTAGTCATGATTTTATTTACCTTAGCTGGCCATGAGCCTCTTTAGTAAAATGTATTCTATGCCTATAGAGATTTATTTAAACTATTCTAAAATTTCATTCATACTTTGTTTACCAAATTATACAGAAGGAGAAAAACAATAGGAAAAAAAGCTCTATTCCAGATACTATGATTCAGTTGTAATTTTAGTTCTCACCCAACAAAGGGAAACTTAGTTCAAAATTTTGTAGAGAAAAGTATTTTTTATTAAATGTGGAAAAATATAATACCTAGATAGAAAGAAAACAAGGTTTCTAAAAATATGAAATTTAATATACAATGTAAATGAGCATAGGAAAAATGCTTAGTGAGGTTTACAGAGGTTAGAGATATTGATTCATTAATCATCTGTACATTTAAAATGTTACATTTTAATTCGAGGAAGAAGTTATATGGGCTGATGCTCATAAATGCTAAAATAAAACAAAGAAGCAAGTGGCCTAAAGAAAGCTGTTGGGCCCTGTCTGGTGTGGCTCAGTTGGGTGGGCATAGTGCTGTGCACTGAGAGGTCGCCAGTTTGATTCCTGCCTGGTCAGGGCACATGCCCGGGTTGCAGGCTTGATCCCCAGTGAAGGGTGTGCAAGCGGACAGCAGATGGATGTTTCATTCTCACACATCAATGTTTCTCTCTCCCTCTCTCTCTAAAAATCAATAAAATTCTTTTAAAAAAGAAAAAGGAAGAAAGCCGTTGGGCCATTCCTGGGCACTAATTGAGGCAATGACCTTTCCCATCAGTCACACAAGGCCTCATTGGGATTCTTCTCCATGCACACATACCTGTTTCCATCAGGAGGACAGCTCCCCAGAAGTTTCTAAAGGAAACTCAGAATATAGTAGAAAAATGTGTTTGTGCAAAAAAGAAAATGGGAATCAAGGCCATTGCTCTTAATAACCAATGAAACTAAATAGCCATTGCTAAGAAGAGCTTCTATTTTCCCTAGCAAAGTGAGCACAAATGGTAAAAGGAAGAAGAGTGAACCTATAAATATATCACATTTAAAATGGCCGAGGAATATCCACATTCAGATTTTTTAGCTGTGAAAATTTATTTCAGGGTCACCCTACATGAGACTGTCCAAAAATAAGATACAATATTTTCTCAAGCAAACTTCACTCTCAAAAAGAGATTCAATTTAAGTTCAATTGCAAACATGTTCTAGACTAAATCTATCAAGAATATTGATCACTATTTTGTGATTTGAATTCTCTACCAGAAATCATGCTTCATCTAAACACAGTCTACTATTTATGGCATTATGAATTTAATGTCCCCCATATAAATTAAAAGGGAAATTAGAAGTGTTTTTACCTGATCTTCATTAAATAGCACTCCCCGTTGTCTATTGATTCTTTTCATGAGATCCCCTCCATCACAGTACTCCATCACAATAAACAGCCTGTTGTTCTCTGTAAGAAAAGGCATCATTTGGTTCTGGAAGCGTTTCAAATATTTACTAATCACTTGTCTTTCAAGTTCTAGAGCAGTGGTTCTCAACCTTCCTAATGCCGTGACCCTTTAATACAGTTCCTCATGTTGTGGTGACCCCCAACCATAAAATTATTTTCGTTGCTACTTCATAACTGTAATTTTGCTACTGTTATGAATCGTAATGTAAATATCTGATATGCAGGATGTATTTTCATTGTTACAAATTGAACATAATTAAAGCATAGTGATTAATCACAAAAACAATATGTAATTATATATGTATTTTCCGATGGTCTTAGGCGACCCCTGTGAAAGGGTC